GATTGGGTATAAGAGGTGTGAGTTGTGGGAACTGATTATCGTAATTTGTAGAGCAGGTTTAGTGGATGAATGTCTTCTGTAAAAGATATTGCTTCAAGGGTGTGCATTGTTGAGGTACTTTCTTGATTTTGTTAGTAGTTTAGAATGATGAGTTTTCAAGAGGGATAAATGTTTGGTGGTTTATTATATATTATTATGCTGTTATGCATCACCATTTCACCAGTTTTGGCAGAGGGTAGTGAGTCGATGTGCTGTGCCTTACCATTCTGAAGTTTTCCGTGCAATCTCATTGAATATCCAATACATAACCCCAGCTTGTCTCTACCCTAGTTTGTTGCCTCTTCTTACCATGTTGGCTTTGCTTTTACTGCATAGACTCTTCTTATTATTAATAATGATCATACTTGTTTCAAGCAAATTCGTTGCATAGCATTCTAGGTATTGTCAATTAACCAATCTCCAAAAAAGCTGGAGGTTGCACTTCAATGATATATGCATTCACATATATCATGTATTCTGTCACACGGGCATATGCATACTATGTACCTAAATATTATTGGAAAAAATTTGAAATAAATCATTGTAAGTGTTTCTGTATACCAGCTCGTGATGTGATGCTTGTGATACAATATGTTCTTGACATGTGAATCTTAATAAAATAAGATAAAAGCAAGAAATTTAATTATTAAACATATATTGATTTTGATCATTTCAATATCATTATTGTTTATCAATAGTCATTTACAGAACAACATTAACAAGAACAACCAACTTTAGACAATAATAATTTAACAAATTAGAAATCAATAATACCTTGGGTTGAGTTTGTGATTTGACCATGTATATGTGAATTATGACAATATATTTTTTTTTTTTTACAGTGGTAATCACATTGGCAAAATGTTTAGCATTAGAGAACCTGGAAAGGAAATTTTGGAACTGAATAAGAATGTTATTGTTCTGCATAAGATGAGGTTCCTGTAACAGAAATGTATTTTCTTGTAAGAAAATTGTTGCACTGTATGGTTCAAATCTTATGAAGTTTCACCCAAAAGACTTCCTTTCAAAGCACAAGAAATATCTTGAAAAGAAATTTAAAATATTGCAATAGATCAGAAGATAACGACACTAATGTGTGAGTAAAAATAAATTTTTAGTTACATCTTGACTGATATCTTTTGAGTTTAAAGTAATTTTCTAGTTACAATTTGACTGAAATATCTTTTTAGAGTTTTATGGGTCCAGGTTTAATTTCATGATTATATGCTTAAAGCAATCGAGGAACTATTGGATTACTGTTAGCAATAGAAATTTTTTTTAGGGAATTAACAATGAATAACCATCTATGTCATCATTAATAACCAACCAAGTCCAATTAGATTTACAAGTGAATTACAAAAGGGTATTTGCAGCCTTATACCATAATTGCCAACTGATCATAATAATTCAATTTCAGGATGTTCTGATTATACATAATTCATCAGGTGTTAATGCTCATTTTGTCTCTACCAAAGCCTTTTTACATTTTTTCTTTTGTATATCATATGGATAGGCTGGTGTTAGGGTTACCATGTTAAGCTAGGGTAGCTTGTGATATGAAATGTAAGTTTATGTGGCCTTGTCTAGCAAAATATCATGTGAATGCCATGATTGGATCATGCCATGTCCTTATTGTTTGGGGATGTGCAGTTATTATCCCCCATTTTATTCTGTTTTTGCCTTTTCTGATTCATCTGCTACAACCAATGCATTTCAGACCTTGCACCACGCTGTTTTGACCTGTGTACACTTATGTAGCTCATGCCATGCATGTAAAGCACTTGTTACCCTAATTTTGAAGATGGTGATGGTGTTGTAAAGGGCTATCTTCTTCCTGGAGAGAAAGCTCTAAATCTGTCCTGAAATCTCTCTTGAATGTCTTTCCTGGGCATGATAGGGAAACTGTTTCTGTAATACTGAACATGAAGCTCATAAATGTCTCTGATGTCTCAGGATTTAGTTCTTCTCCTGCTAACATCTGGAAGGGATCCTGGCATAATTCCACGCAATGCACATCCACCAGAACCTGAAGGCTTTGATGGGAGTGCAGATGTTGGGTCTGGTCAGACTCCACAATTACGTCTGCCACGTGTTAAGGAGGTGGAATTCAATGGAATGACTGTGAAGGTTAAGTATTGTGATACTTGCATGCTTTACAGACCACCTCGCTGCTCGCATTGTTCAATATGCAATAACTGTGTTGAAAGATTTGACCATCACTGCCCTTGGGTTGGGCAATGTATTGGCTTGGTAAGTGATCCTTTTTTTTTTAGTGGTTGTGACTGTAGCAGTAAAAATGATCTTCAGCACTATCAATGGGATAGGATAAGTAGTTATATTGCAGTGCATCTCTCCTCCTGAAATGCTGTTTCTGCTGAAGGGTGACAATTAGATGGACCCCAAGCTTGAAGTTAGGTTTTGCTTTCTTTAACCAGGAAAATTCAACTTGATATGGACCTGTCAGTCCTTTCTTGTTGATGCTATCACAAACTTTGATGTGTTTGAACACATATGGTCACCACTTCTTACTGATAATCTGAAAACTTAATGAAATATCAACATATTGAATCTAGATGGTTCATGTATATAAACTAGCAGATTCTGATGTTAAGTTTCTAGAATTAATTTTTCTCAAGTTGTTGGCATGGAAAATAGTTGGATTTTGTTTGTTGTCTTGGTGGTCTTTTTGAGTGTCATCACTCCTTACATTGATTGATATGCTTCTGGGTGCAGAGAAATTATCGATTCTTCTTCATGTTTGTCTTATCAACGACCCTTCTTTGTATATATGTTTTTGCTTTCTGCTGGGTCTACATTAGGAAGATCATGGGATCAGAGAACATCTCAACTTGGAAAGCAATGATGAAAACCCCTTCATCCATTGTTTTAATAGTTTACACGTTCATATCAATGTGGTTTGTCGGTGGTCTTACTGCCTTCCATTTGTATCTCATCAGCACAAATCAGGTAAGAGAATAAGGTTCCTCTTTTCATAATTCTTTTATGGAGAAGTACATTCATTCACTCTCTGAATGGAACTCGTCCTTGTAATCAACTGTACACTTTCACTAATGTTCTCCTTGCTTGTTCAGACCACTTATGAGAATTTCCGATATCGCTATGATAGGCGGGCAAATCCTTTTTATAAAGGATTGGTGGAGAACTTCAAGGAGATCTTTTGCTCCAGTATCCCCCCTTCTAAGAACAATTTCAGGGCGAAGGTGCCCCGGGAACCTGCATTACCCACCCGGACACTTGGCGGGGGCTTCATGAGTCCAAATATGGGTAAAGCTGGCGGTGACATAGAAATGGGTAGGAAAACTGTATGGGGAGACATGAGTGCTATGGCTGATAGCGAAGGACAACCTGCCAACAATGATCGGTTGAACATAAAAGATGGTGAACTAGGCGAGTTATCCCCGGATATCAGGACCACAGTAGATGAAGTTGGGGACCGTGGTGGATTACATCCTAGGCGATCAAGTTGGGGAAGAAAAAGTGGAAGCTGGGAGATGTCACCTGAAGTTCTTGCTTTGGCAGCTAGAGTGGGGGAATCTAACCGTGTGGGTGGTGGGAGCAGTGTTGGCAGCTTAACAACTGAGAACCGACAATCATAGTTGTGGATTTGACCTCCATCCAAACCTAGGAAGTGGAAGATTAACTGATTTGATGAGTGCTGGTGGTGATTGCTGACCAGATGGTTGGTTATTCAACCTCCAAACTATATATTATGTGGAATATGGGGAAACTTTAGAGGGGGTGCTTGAAAGTCGTTGTTGGTTTGACCATTGTGCTTTTAGGGTGTGGAATGGAATGTTGTGTTGTTAGTATGAGTGAGCTATTGTCAGTTTTGACTCATGTATTGCTGGAATTAGTTAGTGTTCAATCTCATTTTATTTGAGGAATCAGTCAGTGTTTTCCTATGATTCCTCCTTTCAATCAGGGAGCCAATGGTTTTGACTGCCACTAGCTTGATTCCTCATTTTGTTGCCTTCGGGCCCGCAATTAATAATGGGGTCAAGCATGCATAACCCTAAATTTACCTAACGGCAGCTTCATTGTTTTAGGGTGATGAAAGGGAGGCATCGATGAAGTGTGGTAAGCACATGCATCAGAGTCCAAACCAGAACCTGGTTTTAGGAGAGTTGTAGCGCCGCTTTGCCGTGTTATTGTACTGATGCTCGAACCATCCGCATTCTATAGTCAATTCAGGTAAATGACACTTTGCAATAATTCAATTCAACATTCAGCGCACAAATATTTTTCAAGCTCAGAAAAACGATCCGCAGCCTGGACTTGCAAAATTAATTTTTCAAAAGTAAAAAAAAAAAATATATGTATATATTTTAATGTTTTTTATAATAAAAAATACTTTAAAAAATATTCTTTATTTTGCTACAAAAACACGTCAAGGTATCAAACATGGTATTCTAATTTGGTTTTGTTTGTCATTGTATTTCAAAATCATTTTTGAAAAAAATTATTTTTTATTTTATTTTATATTAATATATTTTTGATATTTTTAAATTATTTTGATTTAATAATACTAAAAATAATGTTTAAAATTTTTTAATGTGGCTTGGATGGCAGGTGGGATCTATAAATTTTGGAAAATTGTCAAATTGCTTTGCCCCTGAGCAATTTCTAAATTGCATCATGGGATAAACACACTTGGGTCTTATGACCAGCAATAGCTTGCAAACTGGGCTTGGCCATGGCTGGCAGATGGAAGATGGTCCACAGCTGTGATGTTAGGCCAATTTCAATTTTTTCATATCAACCTGACCTCAGGCTCACATAAGCCTAGCCTCATGTAATATCCATTGGATAAAGAAGTTAAGATTATAATATCCGAAGGTCAAATTCAGGGGACTAGTCTACAAGGAGGTAACGGTGTGGTCAAAGCCAGTCCTTTGGGGTGCTTATTGCGGCCATAAACCTCAAACCTGTCATTTCAGTAGCCAGTGAACCTAACCCACGGAGTGTTTTGTAATTTGCCTACACCACACCTCGGTGTCAGAATCGCCCCTCTTTTAATGAGAGTTAGGAAATTTTATTTATTTTATTACTTTATTGAACCACATTGTTGAAGATTTATTATGCCTGTAATTAAACCTATAAAGATGAGAAAAGGCAATTGAACTCTAGGCTTGAAGCTTCGCTTTGACCTTTTTTTCACTGCAGCACCCCATATCATTTCTCCACCTCTTTCTTCTTCACACAAGACATCAATAGGACATAGCAACAGCAAATGTTTTTTTGTCTTGAGCATATGCCAATGTGGATGCAGTGAGAAATCAGGCCTTGGTAGGTGAGTTTGTTAATCTTGTCTTAGTTTCGAGGGTTTTTTTGGCCGTTTAGATTATGGATTTTTCCCTATGTTGTCTCTATGTTGTTTTTTTTTGTCATTTACTGGCATTTGTTTTGACTGGAATGATGGATATACATATGCAAGTAGAGGTTTGATTTATGTGTGTACTGTGTGGTTCTTTTTTGGCATAGATATGTTTAAGAACCAGCTGCAAGAACTTGCACAAAGAAGTTGTTTCAACCTCCCTTCTTATGCTTGCATTAGAGAAGGACCTGATCATGCACCAAGATTCAAAGCTTCTGTGAACTTTAATGGTGAGATCTTTGAAAGTCCCAGTTACTGCACTACATTAAGACAGGCAGAGCATGCGGCTGCTGAAGTTGCCCTTAATGTTTTGTCTTTAAGGGGTCCTGCAAGGTCTCTAACAGCAAGAGTTCTTGTAAGTTTCTTTTGTCAAAATCCCTCTTTTTTTGGTTTGTTTTAGATAATTTTCTTGATTGCTTAATTGTGTTTAAACGATGGATACCCATTTTGTCTTCAATTTGGTTACTCTAAGTCTAGTCTTATTGTTTCTCTCTGGGAATTTAATAAAGGATGAGACTGGAATTTACAAGAACCTACTTCAAGAAACTGCCCATAGAGCTGGGCTTAACCTCCCTGCATATACCACTGTGAGATCAGGTCCTGGTCATGTCCCAGTTTTCACTTGTACCGTGGAGCTTGCTGGTATGAATTTCACAGGTGAGCCTGCAAAGACAAAGAAACAAGCTGAGAAGAATGCTGCTATTGCAGCCTGGTCTGCTTTGAAAAGATGTAAAAATTCTATCTCCTATTTCCTGTTTGTTCTAACATCCATTATATCATTACTTGCATTTTCTGTGTAATTAATGTATATTTTTGTGCAGTTCCAAACTTGGACTCTCTGAGTAGCAAAGAAGTGGACACTCGTGAAGAACAAGATCAAGCAGTTGTGGCAAGGGTACTGTCAAATTTCAGATCCAAAGATGAAGGTAGATATGCAAGAAAGAGGGATCATAATCAAGCAAGAAGAAGAATGGTTAGAGGGCACAAAGACAGTAGCGGTGCATCATCTTCCACCACCCCAAATAACTTTCTACTGTATCCACATCGGAGGCTCCTGGATCTTATATTGGATTCTACCTTAGATGGTTCAACACAAATGCAGAAGTCCTCCTTTATGTCTCTCCTTCCTCCACCCCCACCCAGAACAAGTTCAAAGATTTTGCCACCGCCCTCACATATAGACAATCCATCTCCATGCTCATCGAACAGGCCTATTCCAGTACAAGTTAAGGGAAAATCACAAGTTCATGTCCCACTTGAAGAGCATTTAAAGGATGAAGAAGAATGGTTAGGTACTAAACCAGATGTCATCAAGAAAAACATTGAAAAGGAGAGTGCCAGCAATTCAAGTTCAAGTAATCTTTACGGATCCAGTTCTATATACAGGCCATTTCCTTTCTCCAATACTGGGAAGCCGGTCACTTCCTTGCTTGATAACACTAGCCAGCAAAAATCAACCCACATTAGTAGCAGAATTTTTGGGTCTACAAATCCATCTCCAATGGCATCCATTTCCATCAATACACCTTCAAGTACCCATGTTCCAAGGCCTATGTTCACTGGAGGGTTTAACCCTCACAGGATTGCACCAGCTGTTCAAATAAGGTCAGTGATCCCAGTTTGTGCAGCAGCACCATCACCAACCAGACCCCCACAATCATCACCAGCTACAAGTGCTCCTTCCCTTTCTAACTTCACGGGAGTAGCTGAGGTATCAATGCTCAACAAGTCAAATCCTCAACCGAGTTCTACCGAATTCAAAAACAAGCTACAATTATTATGAATTAGCAGTATAAGTTGAAGAAAAGACAAATCTTGTTTAAACCCCATAATTAAGCATCTCTTGCCAGTTGTTGTGTCTTGATGGGGCTGGTTGTTAAACAAAATCGGTCCTTTTTCTTTTGCCTTTCAAAAACAAACCATGGTGTTGTCTCATGGGGTCTAAAGGTTAAATTTTTGTATTTATACTCCTGATTATATAATACTCCTATAAATATTACTCTACTTCACCTTACATTAACTGCTGAGAGAGAGAGAGAGGAGAGCATTAAATGTGATCTGGGAGAGTGGGTTGCAGAAGGTGAGAGAGAGAGAGATGGGGG